AGAATTTAATCCCGGTGGATAAGCTTTAGTTTAAATAGCATGAAAATTAGAAGGCAAGGTTTCCTTGCATGTTGACAATGCCATGCATGAAGCACTAGCTATTTCAGTTGTCTGCGTGGAAAAGACCTATTTCTTTTCTTAATTCGGCTGAGAAAAAAAAAGAAGAAGAAGAAGAAGAAGAAGAACGAAAACTATTTGCTCACACACTTCCTTGCATGTTTTACTCAAATTGATGCCACTCAACGCTCGTGTTTGCTCTCTTTTAGGCTTTTTGTTTAATACATTCACACTCCCCAACCTTTTACCACTCTAACTTACTCTTTTGGTTCTTCTACAAACTAATCTAAACCAAACAAGAACTAACCAATTACAAGTGATTCAACAACCTCACTTTCCAAGGATTGGATTTCGGACATATTTGGAACAAGGAATTGACAAACTAATTCAAATAAGAATTTCAAGTTTTCAAACATTAAGAATGATAGTAGAACTGACTTGAATTTAATTTTAAACAAGACAATAAAAAATGAGACACAACGAGACAAAACAAATCGGACTTCTTTTTATGTTTTTCCTTTTTTGAATTTGAACTAACTCAATTTGGAAACGAAACTACAAGGATATGAAATAGAACAAAAGATAATGAAAAAACCCGATTTGTATTAAAAAACGAAGTTAACTATAAATCAGACTTTTTCCCTTTTTTTTTCTCTTTTTTTAATATAAGACTCAATTTATCAAGCAAAGGAACACGAGACTCAAGCAAGAAAAGATATGACAGAATAATAAGGAAGAGGCAACAAAGAAAACAAGAGAGATACGAAATAAAAGACGCAAGGACTATGGATAACCAACCTAACTTTGCACAACCTAGGCATTGATACCAACTGATGTGAACCCCACATATAAAGATGAGAGACCCAAACACCTTCATTGCTAGGCAACCCCAAGAATATGCCCAATCAAGTTATAATAAGTGGAGCCTAACCCGTTGCCTATAAGGAGGCAAGAACAAAAGCTATATTGTAATGGAGTGAAGAACACCACACCCTATGAAGGATGATAAGTTCAGAGATGCTATAAGAGTTGCAATCCTTGATAAGTTAGATTTAGTTCTCAAAAAAACAAAGGAAGAAAATCCTCTTAAATTTATTAACTCTCAAAATTATTTTGTGAGTCTGAAATAGAGCTAAACCAGCCTTTATATAGGCTAACATGCCACTCCTAACCCTAAAAGGACTCTACATGTCCTTGCCATCTAAGCAGAACATAAACAAAACCTAATGGACTTGAAAGAATATGAAAACAATAGGGCTTAAAACATTGAGCCCAAATCCAACTTAATTAATTAGTTCTAATTATAATTAAGTTAGATATAACAAAATAGGCCCAATATAATTTAATGGGAAAGATTATTTTAATGGGATTGCAACTACCTGGACCAAGTCATGTTAATCTTGCCGTTTCCGTGAAGAATTTAATCCCGGTGGATAAGCTTTAGTTTAAATAGCATGAAAATTAGAAGGCAAGGTTTCCTTGCATGTTGACAATGCCATGCATGAAGCACTAGCTATTTCAGTTGTCTGCGTGGAAAAGACCTATTTCTTTTCTTAATTCGGCTGAGAAAAAAAAAAAGAAGAAGAAGAAGAAGAAAGAAAACTATGATTCAATGCTTGATTAAAATATCCATTTCGAGATTTCAGATTTAAATTTAAATTCAATAGCTGCGCATGAAAAAAAAAAAAAAAACTTGTCCAAAGTCAACAAGAACTTGACCTAGGTGAAAATCAGTGTTTTTTTTCCTTTTTTTTTTTTCCCCTTTATTGGAATTCTGCGTATCTAAGTGAGCTTAAAAATTTAGTGGTTAATCCACTTTTTAAGATTAGAAGTATATTATAAAGATTTCTAACATAAGAAGACACTTCATTTCCGTCATAAGAGATAATTGCAAATTATGAAAAAAATACTATAGAAGTAGCATTCTTGCCATAATTCTCTTATAATAAGCCAGTGTTTCTGGATTTGATGAAAGTGGGGTTAAGTGAAGAAAGCAAGGCCAAATATGTTTATTTATTTGGGTGTCCAAATGAGAGAAGAAAATGAAAACTAAGCAAATTAGGTTTGTAATTTTCCATATTGCTAACCGAAAAAAATACAAAACTTTTATAGGAAATTTAAAGACTCAGATTTAACACATATCACCATTAACAATCAATTTAATTGAAAGAGAAATTACATTTACTTTAAATTGATTCTTGAGATCTTTTTTTTTTCAAAAACAATGAACATAGATAGAATCAAATCGATTTTTTAAATGTCTTTCTGGATATTCCTCAATGTCCCAAGCGCATGATTTGAAAAGCAATATTGAAAAATAATTACAAAAAATAAAAACGTTCTCATCAAAAAACCCACCTCCTAATCAAAGCCAGACCAGTGGTTCCAATAACATCCAACGGATTTTTATTAAAAAACAATGAAAAATCTATTGCGGTATGTAAGCACATTCTGTCTTATGGTTTACAATTCTCTCCAAGTTCCTCCATTCAAATTCAAACTTTCTTTAATTCTGATTGAGATGGGTGCCCAGAAGATGGAAAACCTATAAGCAGTAGATTTGTTATTTACCTAGATAATAATTTGGTATATATCGTGGTTTTCTTTGCTAGAGTATGAGTATAAATGTTTGACAAATGTTACTAATCAAATAGTTTGGTTGCATTCTTTATTACAGAAGTTAAGAATTCGATTCACTCTTTCTCTAGTTTTGTGGTATGACAATATTGGTTTCACTTATCTTTCTAGCAATCTAATATTTCTTGTGTGTACAAAACATATTGAAATTGATTTTTATTTTATAAAGAACATGGTGTCGAAAAAAAACTCCTAATTATGTTTATCTCTTTAAAAGATCAATTGGCAGATGCTCTTACAAACTCAAGCCTCTTCCGAGGGCAGCCTTCGTTTGAAAGGCGATGTTAGGCCAGTACATGTAGCTGAGCATATATATGTGAATAATAGTTTGTGTATAACAATAATTGTTGTAGCTATGTCATAGTCTTTGTATAACTAGAGTAGAGTTTTAATCTTATTATTAAGATAGGTTAGAAGTTATCAGTTCTTTTACTTTATAAATTACTCAGCAATACATAAATATATTTATGCCTGTAAAACCTATTCCTTCATACTCTTTACATATATATTCCTTCATATTCGTTATAAATGGTATTCATAACTAGTCTAATAAAGTTCGGAATTACATTGCCGAAGACTGGATTAAGTGGGGCGTTGGATTTTCAAATAAAATGTAAATGGCTCGTTAATGAAGAAACCTGGTGCTTCAGTACTTATTGGTAGGTTTCTTAGAGATCATGAAGGACATTATTCATGTATTTTTTTTTCAGGATCAATCGGCATTAGATACTCCAATAAAGCATAAGCTATTGCAATAAAAAAAGCTCTAGAACTAAGTGTTTCTTATCTCCTAACTCAACAAGTCCATTGGATTGTTGAATCGGAATCTTTAAATATTAGTTGAGTTCATAAGAATACGTATGAAAGGTCTTGAAAGTTAAAATCAGCCTTTAATAGTATTCTGCCTCTATTATTAAGTTGAGCTCTATTAATTTTGCTAGAGTGAATAAAAAAAAGGAAAAAAGAATCTTGTAGTTGATGATTTAGCTAAACATGGTATTAGCAGGCAAGAGGAATTCCTCGCTTGGCTATAACCTTTGCAAACATTATGTTGCTGGCTTTTATTCTAAATCTATCGAAGAATCATTAAACAATAAGGTGCAATTTAACTACAAAATCTGGAAATGTAAAACTTTCTGCAGAGCAACCTACTACACAGTGGAATATTTCACGCATAAATTCATTATTCTAAAATTACAGTACATTGTATGATAAGGCAATGTATGGCTGGGTAAATTTTATTGGAGTACAGTACATAGATACATACATATCGAGGAGTACGACAATTTCATACTTCATCTAATTAAGCTAAGTGTTATGTACTAATTATTGACAATCAAATATTAAAATTAACATATTTTTAGTTTGTTTTTATATATTATTTTGATTTTTTTATATTACGCAAATCATATTAATTTTAATGTGATCTGTCAATTAGTATATACAAATAAATTTAAATGAATGAAGTATACATTAATTTTTTTAATCAAAATCATCATATATATACATACATATCTACGTAAAGAAAACAGAATCACGGTCAGTCTGGTTTTCAAGATTTTTGTTAGAAATGGCCAAATTCAAAATGCAATACTGTTTAATGGTTGGATCAACAAGTTATCGGTGCTCAATTAGGCCCAACTAAATCAGTAACAATGCTCCCAAAATCCCAGTAAAAAGAAACATTAGAAACATTGCAATGTATCATGCCAATACTACTAATATAGTTAAGACTTTAGATAAATTTGCAAAAGGCATGCTAATCCAGTACTGATATATCCCAGCATTAATTAGCGCATCACGGTCGATTATCTCCTTTTCTGCAGCTGCTAATAACTATACCAAACTTCTCTAAATTGCTTACGATTAATTAATTAATCACTTCTTGCTGTTGCTCAAACTTTCGAAGTTTTGAATTGCCAATACAACTTTAGGTCATCTTGTAGGTCCAATTTATGTTTCTCCATTAATATTCACCTAGGCTTGGTAGTAGAGTCTTGTTTATGATGTGTTGAAAAGTCTTCAAACCAAACAAATGTTTATGTGAGTGGGCCTATTGCCTTTTTTGTCAAAGCGAATATATTTAAGTCTCCCACGAGCCTTTGCAGAATTTTCAACATCTAGATTTCCTAGAACAATGGTGGAACCAGCTTTTTTTTTTTTTCCAAGGAAAGCACTAACAGGAAAGTCACCACTTCACACAGTGATGCTGATCCTTTACCACTCACCAGTTGTGCTATATATAGAACTAGAAGGCAGCCTATTTTTATCAATAAACATCACAAAGAAAAAAGTGAGCTGCTGCAATGGCAATTGCATCGTCAAAATTCCTACTCTTTTTTATTCCTCTTTTCGTTCACCTCCTTGTTCTCACTACTGCACAGACAAATCTGCTGCAGCACTTTTGCATTGAAAATCATGGTAACTTCACTGCTAACAGTGATTACAAATCAAACCTCGATCAACTTCTCTCCTCCTTCTCTTCTGATACGAAAATCGATTATGGGTTTTACAGTGGCTCCTTGGGCCAAAACATCGACAAAGCTTATGCACTTTCGCTTTGCAGAGGAGATAAAAAGCCTGAAACCTGTCGCAGTTGCATTCAAAACTCCAGCCAAGTGCTCTCACAACTTTGTCCTAACCAAAAGGAGGCCTACATTTGGCATGATGATTGCATGTTAAGGTATGCAAACCATTCCATATTTGGCAATATGGAATTCGGGCCATACTTTTGGATGTACAGCTTGAACAATGTTACCGATGAAAATGAGTTCCATGAGATGCTAAATGTCTTGTTAGGCAGGCTAACAAATTTAGCAGCATCAGGTGATTCGCGAAGAAAATTCGCAGCAGGAAATTCCACCACTAAAAGCTCTCGCCAAATCGTTTATTCACTTGTTCAGTGCACTCCTGATTTGTCTGAGCAGCAATGTAGCAGTTGCCTGAGTCAAGCCATTGCATTGATTCCGACATGCTGTCAGAGTAGGCAAGGAGGGAGGGTGATCTCACCTAGCTGTCACTTTCGATACGAAAAAGACCCTTTCTATGACCTTGCTGCAACGACGCTTCCACCATAAGCAACAGCATCAGTAGATCCCCCACCTATACCTTGAGGAATATTAGGTATTGCAGTAATTTTTACAAAAATCTGTTCTGTAAGCAACTATGGTAATTTCTTAACTGCTTTCAAATTAATTCATGAATGATTACATGATCTAATCACATGTTATGATTTTCTGGTCTATTTGCAGGTTAAAAAACTACATAGTCCGAACTGCCACTGCTAGGTTATTATTGTGGCCCTTGCAGCATGTATGAGCCGCTTGACCGCAAATCATCTATCTAATGCATGCAACTTTTTCTTATTTTACAGCACTCAGTTTTCTTTCTTCCTTTTTTTTTCCTCGAAAAAATTATAAAAATAGTTGTGATCGGTATGAACGTCATTTCCTTCGCAGACAATATAAATAAAGGTAGTGCAGTTTGGACACTGTTTTAATAATATTTTTGTTCAATGAATCGCTCTGTTGAGAAATTTGATAGCTTTATTTTAAGAATTAAACTGATAACATTGTATATAGTTGCAATGACTTATTGATTGGTTCTTGCAATTTATCCCTCCGTGACCTCAAAACTTAAGCATATATATGGGATCTTAGAATATAAACACCTTCTTAAGTAAAAGTCTCAACTTTAAAAATTATACAGATCCATATTATCTTATGCTTAATATTTGAACAATTAAAAATGATGAAATTTAAACTTAAAACTTCTTGATTAACCAAGTTTTGATATCATAATAAAGTATCATTTCATCTAAAAATTTAAGTTCATAGATGAGATTGACACTGACAAAAACACATCACTAGATGGAGTAGAGATAGAAGATGTCTGCTCATAGGTAGATAATGGAAAAACGCTTTCATGAAACGTACATAACGTGCAATATAAATCTTTTTCGTAGACAAATCCATGCACTGATAACCTAAGTGAGACGGGTTGTAACCGAATAAGATATACAGACGAAGAAAAGGAAAACCAATTAAGGCAGCCAAAGGTTTTTCAAAAGTTATAGTCGCGTTTAAAATTAAATAAGCACTCAAAGGGTGGCTTGTGGGACACCGCCACAGTAGGCATTCGATTGATAAGGTAAACAACTGTTTCAAAAGAAAAAGACCAGTTCTTTAGGGGTGTACGACATAGACCAAAACGAGTAAGACTGGTTTCAACAATGTTTCTATAGAAAACCGGATTGAGAAAACAAACTGCTTATGAATAATTCGATTGAAAAGTTAAAATAAGATCAAATAAACAAACTATTTTTGAGTGATTTAATTTTTAAAAACAAAGTTAGCGAAACAAACTGCTTATAGGTAATTTGATTAGAAAGTCAAAACGAAATTGAATAAAAAACCACTCTTGGGTGAGTCGATGAGAACATGATCCAAGAAACAAACCGTTTATAGACGATTTGACTAGAAAGTAAAAATGACATCAAATAATCAAACCACTTTTGGATGATTCTCTTTAAGAAAATAAGATCAAAGAAACATATGGCTCATGAATGATCCCAATTAGAAATTCAGAAAGAAATCAAATAAACAAACTGATTTTAATTGATTTGATTTTAGAAAATAATAATGGAGAAAACAAACTGCTCACAGGTGATTCGATCAGAAAGTACAAATAAAATCGAATAATCAAACCACTTTTGCGTGATTCGATTTTATAAAATAAAATAGGAGAAACATACCGCTCATGAATGACCGGAGAAACAAACTCATGGGTTGTCTGATTGAAAAGTCAAAGAGAAGTCGAAAATCATAGACAAAGATAATTTTAGATCAAAAGAAATATCTCCATATCTTAAAAAAAAAAAAAAAAAAAAAAAACCCTCACACAAGATAAATAAACTTGTAAGCTCAGAATTGTTTGGTATACAAAAAGGAAAAAGATCGAAAATACGAATCACCTATGGATGATTCAATAAGAGAAAAAGATTTTGAAAATCTTATGCAAGGATAAATTTTAGATTGAAGAGGAAAAACTCAATATCAAAATCTAATGTGAATCAAAAAATCACATTGCAGGAAAACATATAGCTCAAAATCATTTTGCACATGAAAATGAAATGTCATAATCCAAAAATTTCTCATATTTTTAGTTATTTTATTGATTCCTTATATTTTTATTTCATTTTACCTCAATTTAGAATTTACTATAAAAATATCAAAAAATGAAATATATATATATAAGTTCAAAATAATTTTTTTTTTTTTAAAAAAAAAAACTCATTCCTCTCAACCTTATAAACCTCTTATAAAAACAACACTTTCCACTCACTCTTTCCACTCACTCTGCAAAAAAAAAAAAAAGAAAGAGAGAGAGAGAGAGAGAGGCACAAAAGGCAGCCACAAGAGTAGTCACAATTCTTCTATCTAAAAAAAACCCTAAAAAATGTAGCCTCAAGGAAAAATAAAGGTTTGGGGGAGCCACCCTCACTGCCAAGGTGGCTGCCACAGCCATCTCCATAGCCACACCCACACAAAACCTGTCACCATCAGCATCTATACAAATCCCCTCCTCCATTACCAAACCTCCTATTGATAGCCATATACCAAGCTACCATTGACAGCTCCCTCACCTAGCTTCACCCAAGCAGTCCTCGCCACTGCCTTCCTTTCTCATCTGTCAAGCATCACTGTCAACCACCATAAACTCCCCTTCTCCTATCGACCACCTCTGCCTATCTGTGGCAATCAGCTGCCATTCAAAAATTTCTCCCTGCAGAGCAGCCCACCTCGCCTAACTCCAGCAGGCCAATCTTCCCTCGTAATTGCTGCCAAAGCTTCTTACACAGCAGCAAACCCATACAAACCCCTGCCTCTCCACCCTTCACCAAAAGCCACCCATCTTCATTCACAGGCCCTCCTATTGCCATCAAAGATCCCTCCAACAATAAACCATTCCGCCTACCCTTTTTCTCCTTGACTGCCAAGAAGAGAGCTGTCACAGCTCTCCCTTAGTTCCTCTCACCACTCCATACCCATCATTAGGAATGAGATTTCAACCTTCTTTCTTTGCCTTCAAACACCACTGTAATCAAAGACAATGAAGTTCTACAACAGCCACAGACCTGGACTCCAGTCTCTCCACAAACCCACCTTGCTAAACTCAGCAGGCACACATCGGAGATCCACCATTCTTTCCCCCAAAACAGCCACCACGGGAACTACAGACCCATGGCCACTTTTCTCATCCAGCCGCAGGAACACCAAAAAGAAAAAACCTCTCCCAAGCAACCTCATTCTCTCATAAGCAAAAAACACAAGCGCTTGGCGTGTGTAAACCCCAAAAACCTCATCCATCCTATCACCAAAAATCCAACCGAATCCCTTTCTCTCTCGGTTCAACAGCCCCTCAACGTCCAAGACCAGCCCTCTCTCTTCCTAAAACTTTAACCAAGCAGCCTTAAATCTCCATAAATTCTCCACCTCAACAGACCCATCCCCTCTCTTAAGGTAACCCAGCTGCAACAACCCATAACCATCACAAATGACCGCGCCCGTCTTCTCTATTGCCAATCAACAACACAAGCTCCCAATTGCCAAAACCTCTCCTCATAGAGGAATCAAATCCAAACCCATAAACAACATCACAAACAGCCCCTCTTTACTGTTGGTTCATGCCTACACCCAATCCTCACTCTTCATAAATTCCTCTTTATTGTTGTTTGGTATCTATCATCCGGATGAAACAGAGGATGAAGTGGGCACTTTGAGGACAAAGCTCGTCTTCCTTTTAGATTTAAAAATGGAACTGAAGGAGAGGAAGGAGAAGCATTGTAGATCATGAAGGAGTTTTCAGAAAACGGGAAAAGCCAGAGAAAGGGAAAGAAGATAGAAGGTATACTTTGTCTGCTTGATTTATTTTGAAAGCTGATGTATCAGCTTTGTAAAAGGAAAGGGCTAGACCTGTCCAGGCCGTGAGGGAGGGCTGGACAGTCCAGCCCGTGAGTAAGGCTGGATAACTCCTGCCCGTACCTTTAAAAAAAAAAGAAAAAAAAAAGAAAAATGAGAAGCTGGAACCGTTCCAACTCCTCCCAATATATATATATATATATACACATAAATGAATTGGAATTAGTCCAGTTAAGTCAAAGAAAAAAGAAAAATAAATATGGGAAAAAAAGAAAAGTAAAAAAAAGAAAAAAAAGAAAAGAAAAGGATAGATACAAGACTTAATGGGCGTAGCCCAATGGATCTGGCCCAATGGGTTTTGCCTCCCCCTCCCCAAAAAGAAATGCCTACTGTTTTTTTTTTTTTTTAATTAGATATATTGTTTAAAATAGTTATTTATGCATGCTTATTTCTTATTTAATTTTAGAATTTTTAATATTCTAGTTTTCTTGAAAATTTTATGTAGTTAATTTTAATAAATTTTTATTTTTATTTTCACAATTAGGTTAGATAATCTAACGATAGATGAATTGTCAAGTCATCTTAATTTTTTATTAAATTTTTTAGAGACCGATGACGATTCTCCATTGACTAAATAAAAATAAAAATAAAAATGATAAAAAAAATGCTAATAGTTTTTTTTTTTTTTTTGTTAGGATTTTGTTTCAAAATTAGTTTAGTAGTTAGTAGGTGGGCGAATCGTTGAGTCTCTTAAATTCTTAGGGATTGATGATGGTTTCTTCTAAAATGTCAATAATTAGATTAATAGTTAAGCAAATTGTCGAGTCTCCTAATTTTTAGGAATTGATGACAATTTTTCTTCGAAATGTCAATAATTACTTTGGATAACTAAGATATAAATGAATTGTCAAGTCTTCTAAATTCTTAGGGACTAATGATGATTTTTCCTAAAATGTCAATATAGTTAATAAATAGAAAAATTATTGAGTCTCTTAAATTCTTAGAGATTGATGATAATTTTTCATTGAATGATAAGTCGCCTACTTTTAAATTGGCTAAAAAAGGTTTAAATTGAAAATAACTTGGCACAAAATAAAAGATTTAGGGAGATAAATTTAAGACTAAACTATAGATGTTGTAACTTTCTTAGGAAAATACATTTTTGGGTGACCATTGTTTTCTCAAAGCGTAACTAACTTTTTATCCTATAATTTTTACATTAGTGTTATTTTAAGTTTTTAGTTCCTTTAATACTAGTTGATGACTCTAAATACAATAATAACTCACATTCTTCAGAAATCTTTGTGAATAAGATGCACATCTTTGCAAACCTATGAAAACCTAAAATTTCTTTCGAGAGTCATGTCCGATGTCATGTAGTGATAAAAGAAAATCTTGATACCATTAAATGAAGATGTGTACCAACATGAAAATTATTTTTGAAATCATATAAATTTGTGAATCAACACATTAATTATAGCCCGAACACGCAATAAGACTTAAATCCTCATTAAGACCAAACTATTACATTCTGGATAAACGAATGAACAAACCCACCCCCACAACAAGCTCTTGGGATACTTCATATTCCCGAAGCATCGCACAACGGTGCGAACTTAACCCTTCAATATTCAAGAAAATATGAAAAAATCCATTAAAAAAAAACTTATAATGGCTCAAAATTGGAAGGAAAAATAAAAAGTAACTTAGAAAATCTTGAGAACATGACGAAAATAACCCTCGTCAAACTTTTTTGGCATTTTTTTCTCCAGTGCGTTCCTAGTAGAACATGTGGCTCACAATCTTTCGTACAACCACCACTGAAAGTCGTGTATCACATGGCAAGCCGGTAAGTGAGATCGGACTTGATCTTCCTTGAACTTCCTCTTCTTTGGTGATCTAACATAGTTACTCTATCGGGGATAGTAGATTATAATATTTATATTGCATTCAGAGTGTAGCAGTCAATTAAAATTTTTAAGAAGTTCATCATCTCATGGGTTAATAGCCTTGTTCATCCTTATATAATGGTTTAAATTTTTAATCTATCAATCCTTATATTCTAAAATGATCTTATTATGTCTCTATTATTTTAATTAGTTTCTAATATATTATTTTTATCAATTTTTCGACCAAATCATTAGAAATTGATATATGACTCTCACAGGACATATCTTCTAACAAAAATACCCCTCATGTGTTAATCAAGTTATTATATGGATCCATTTCTAAAGGGTATTTTTGTTTTAAAAACATATCATGTCACTAATTTTTGATGGTTTGGCTAAAAAAATTGATTAGAAAATAAATTAAAAACTAATTAAAATAGCAAAAATATAATAAGATTGTTTTAAAATATAAGAATAGTTTGAAAATTTATGCCATTATATAAGACACATAATGCTATCGATCCAAACTTTATATATAATTGTAAAAACAGTCCTAATAAAAAACTATACATGCATAACAAAAGCCACAAACATGGTTGAATTGTAAATTCCATTCAATTAAATACTTATATATAAAATAAAAATAATTATATCAATAAAATAATTATAATTGTTTAATTAAAATACTTTTTTTTTGTGATATAAATTTCATTTTTTCATACAAATATAGATTTTGTTTTTATAATATTGTGTGATTAATAAACTTTCCAACTCAATGATTTTGAGTTAAAGTGCTAGACATAGTTGATTGATGTCATAGTAAAATCTGGTATCATCAGAGTCACAGTTGATTGACGTCTGTCACTTTTTCTTTCTTATTTAGCCGTATGAGAGCCATACCATACGGCATCAGAGTGGGAACTCCGTGGTAGCTAAAGTGACATGACATAAGTTCACATTTTAGGTCTAGGAAGTTCAAACCTTTTAAGTACCCGAAAAAAAATAAAAAAAAAAAACTAAATTTTGCCCCTCCTTTTTTTTTTTTTTTTTAAGCTCCATAACCATTATTAGTTTATTTTATTTCAAAGTATACCTTAATATATTCATATTGGTACCCTTATTCCTAAAATTCAGTCAAAAATATGTTTTTTTTGGCGGTTGGCCTCGCTGCCGGATGGACTGATGGTGAGAGAAGAGATGGAACGAATTTTTTCTTTTGATTTAAGAAATGGAATAGGGTTAAAATGATGGGCTTGGACCCTTTTATTTATTTTTTTTCCTTTTTTTTTCCTGGATTTTCCATTTTTTTTATTTTAATTTTCTTCTGCTTCTTTCTCTCTCTTGATTTTAAAGATAACAATAAGAAAATAAAATAATAATATTAATGTTCCGATTATTTTTATGGGAAATAAAAATTAAATTAACCTTATTCTTTTATATCGATTTTTTTTTTTTTTGGGTGGTGTTTGTGTGAGAGAGATTTGGTAATCTAATATCCAATATAATGGCTATCTTTATCAATGGCCTTACACATTTAAGAATAATCAAGGCTCTTTATATGAACTTTGTTGAGAGAGAGGAGAAAAATAAAATTCTAAACCAAGGTTCCATTGGTCATGCTCTATATATTATCTAGTATCTAATAATGGTAACTAAATTTGGAGACATGTTGCCTAGTGATTAATTAATGACATGGCTTTGTTACTCCAACTTCCATGTTTTGAATTTCTAACACCAGAAAGGTACTACTGTAGGTCAACTTGTAGATCCAATTTTCATGAGGAAGTAGACAAGCAATTCCATCTTTCAAGAACAATATTCAAGTAGAAAAGTCTTCAAACCAAACAAGAAGTTCTATATGACCCAGTCAATTGCCCTTTTTGTCACAGCCAATGTGTCTAAATCTTCCACAAGCCTTTGCAGGATTATTCAAAAAATCCGATTTTCCTGGAATGTGGGGGACCAGTTATTTTTTCCAAGGAAATTAGGCAGTCAAAAAAAGGACTAAGAGGAAAGTCACCATTTCACATAGTGATAGTGATCGTTTCTCACCCACTTCTTGTGCCATAAAACTACAGGCAGTCTCCTTAGTTTCATCAAATAACAATCACAAAGAGAAAGTGAGGTTCTGCAATGGCAATGGCAATGGCAATACCACCATCAAAATTACTTTTCCCTTTTTTCCTCCTTATCTTTCACCTCCTTGTCCTCAGTATTGCACAACCAAATCTACTGAGTCACATTTGTTCAGAAAATGGTAACTTCACTACTGGTAGTGACTACAAATCAAACCTCAATAACCTTTTCACATCACTTTCTTCTGATACCAAAATCGACTACGGGTTTTACAATGCCTCATATGGCCAAAACACCGACAAAGTTAATGCAATTTCACTGTGCAGAGGAGATAAAAATCCGGAAACCTGCCGCAGTTGCATCAAGAACTCGAGCCAAGTGCTTACACAACTCTGTCCAAAGCAAAAGGAGGCCTTTATTTGGTATGATGATTGTATGCTAAGGTATTCGAACCGTTCCATATTCGGCAGAATGGAATTCGGGCCTTACTTTTGGATGTACAGCACGGATAATGTTACCGAGGAAAATGAGTTCCATGAGATGCTAAATTCCTTGTTAGGCAGCCTCACAGACTTAGCAGCAGTAGGTGACTCTCGAAGAAAATTTGCAGTAGGAAATGAGACCACGAAGAACAATCATCAAACCATGTACGCAATTGTTCAGTGCACTCCTGATTTGTCTACTGAGGACTGCGGTACTTGCCTGAATAAAGCCATTGAATTGATTCCAAAATGCTGTAAGGGTAGGCAAGGAGGGAGGGTGATCACACCTAGCTGTCATTTTCGATACGAAAAAGACCCTTTCTATGATCTTGCAGCCACGACAGTACTACCACCATCTCCAGCGCCACTGTCAGTCCTTCCACCGCCACCAGTATTTTCACCCCCAAAGGCAACAGCAGACCCAGCACCGCTGTTAAAATAGGTATTTCAGTAATCATTACGAAATCTGTTCTGTAAACAAATATGGTAAAATTTTCAGCTGCATCCAAATTTAATCCCGGAACGATGAAACTAAATGCTGTACTCACATGCCATTTTCTTGTCCTTTTGCAGCTAAAACAGCCAACATAGTTCAAACTGCCATTGCCAATGTTTTGCCGGTGCTACTTCTATGGTCCTTGCCATCATGTATGAGCCGCTTGATAGCAAGTCATCCATCCTAAATGATGTCAATTTCTCATTTTGCAATTTTGTTTTGTTTTGTTTTTTTTTTTTTTTTTTTCCAAAAAAAAATAAAAAAAGAAATAGTCGTTGTCTGTATGTTGTATGCCTATCAGCTTCCTTCAAACAATAAAAATAAAGCTGGTGTTGATTGAACAATTCAGTTTTGATTTTTAATTTAATTTTAATTTATTTTTTTGAGAATCACTGTTTTTACTTTGACATATAGTTTTGTTTAGATGAGAATAATTGTTTCTAAGCATTATATCATACGCAAGCAACCATTGATTTTTTATTTTTATTTTTTTACCTTGACCAGTATTATTGGTTATTATCGTCTTGTTTTAAAGCATTTTTAGTCTTCAGATAATTAAAATAAAGTGCTAATAAAGTGTTAAATAGGTTAGGAGTGATTCAAGAAAAATAATATATGTTACTAGGATTTTGTTTGGTGTATAAATAGGCTTTTAATTAATGGAAAGATGAGATTAGCCCATCATTTTATATATATATATATATATATTTTAAAGAATTTCATTAATATATGCCTCTTTCTTAATTTGAGGTGGAGTGTGATTATATATCATTTTGTTAATATTTGCATTAGGAGTATTCTGATCAATTAAAAAAAATTACAAAGTTTGTGCTTTTAGTTATGATTTGGTTAATAGTATAAATTAAAAGGCTTCAGAAAAGAGAGGATTTAAGTGGGGTATTAGGATTGTAAATGGTTCGTTTAACTTATTTATGTGAGTGCATCAACCTAGTTGGAAGTTGAAGATGAAGGAAAAAGTTCCATGAAACGATCCGACTTTGTGATCCTTTTCCTTAATAAAGTTGGATGAAAGTTTCAGGTTCACAATTACTTTAAAAAGAAAGCATCTGATTATATTACAGCATATCCCAAAAATCTAAAGGAGAATTTAAAAATTTTAATGCGCAGAAAAATGCACTTTTTGTGAGGTTCCGAATGATCTTTGAACATAAATTTTAGGGGTTAAATATATCTCATACTCTTGTATTGTATCGAAAATATCATTGCAACCTCTATATCCAGTTATAATTTATAGCAATAGCAAATCTTATATTATTGGATATTGCTACACAACAATCAATCTCTTAACTATTCTTGACAGATTGATAAATTTCTGTTAGTTAATTAATATTTAACTAATCAAATTGTGACATATGCCAATTTAAGGATAAAAATATAATTTTATAAAAACATTAATTTTTAAGTAATTATGAATATTAAAAATTGAAAAACAAATTCTAATTTTTCTTAAATAATCAATTTTTTTTTCATTTTTTAGTGATTTTATAATAATTATTATTAAAGAAAATTAAAAAAAATAAGTAAAGAATTTTTTTTCAATTTTTAATCTTTATGATAATTATTAATAAATAAATTTTTAAAGTATCTAAATAAAATTTTAATTATTATTAATTATTTTAATAAAAAATTTTGATTATTATTTATTTCAATTTTTTTAAATTTTCTTTATTAGTAATTATTATAAAATCATTAAAGTTGAAAAAATATATTTTTAAATTTATTTAATAATTATTATAAATTCATTAGAAATATAAAAAAATCTGATTAATTTTAATTTTTTCTTTATAATTTTTTCCAATTTTAATAATTTAATAATTATTTTAATTAAAAATATTAAAAAACTGATTTTAACTGAAAATTATATTTTTACCCTTAAGTTGACACAAGTCATCACTTTATTGGTTAGATATTAATTAACAAATGAAAATCAATCAATTTGATGGAAAAGTGAATAAAGGATTTATTTTGTACTAATGTTTAATAGTACAAGATATGTTATGAAGTATATTTAAATAGAGAGATTGTAACAATATTTTCGACATAATACGGAAAGACGGAATGTATTTGATCCAAAATTTTAGTGTAAATGGTCCTATAAAAAAATTGAGATTGAAATCAAGTCTTTTTATTAACCAAATTTAGGTTTAGTAAAACTATCTTTTTATTACATGTGTTTTAGATTTTACCAGTTAATATCAAAATTGATGAAATGTTAATCAATTGCCTCAATGAATAACTACACATATAAAGAGAACAAAATCATTTTCTAGAAATTCAAAAAATAAATTAAAGTTTTTTTTTTAAAAAAAAACTTAAACATGGTTTTTTAAATATAAAAAAATGTTTTGATTACTTAGGGTGATTTAGTGGTAGGAGTGGTGGTGAGCCAGGTGAATAATACTAATGAGTGAAAGAGGAATCTTATTTAATGACCATTGAGTTGTCGGTTTGGGCAGTGAGTGGTTTTGTCATCATCAGGAGTTCAAATACAATACGGTGTTGGAAGAATTTTATTTTATTCCCTAACACTCCAAATCGATCAATAGGGGTAGAACCAGAAATTCAGGATTAGGGGTACGAATAAAAAAATAATTGATTTTTTATAGTGCAAAATATTTAAAAACTTTCAAAATTAGCAATAAATATAACATTTCCAATGGATGTTGCCACGGTCCCCCCACCCATTTTAATACTTTTTTCGCTTGAAAACTGGTTAAAAGATATTTCAATAAAAGGTATAACACTCCAAATCCACTAATACGCGTGGAACCAAAAATTTAGCATTAGGGGTGCGAGTAAGAAAATAATTGATTTTTTTTTAGTGCAAAATATTTAAAAACTTTCAAAATTAGGAATAAAATGTAACATTTCCAAACTTGGGTGGTGCCATGGTACAAAAAAAAAAAATTCTGCGTATCGCCAACCCACCCACCGACCCAAAACCCCAAATACTTTTTTTGCTTGAAAACTGGTCAAAATTAAGGTATTTCAATAAAACATATAATCCTCGTAATCGACCAATAAGTATATATAGAACCAGAAATTCAAGATTGGGGGTGTGAATAAGAAAATAATTGTTTTTTTTTTATAGTGCATAATATTTAAAAACTTTCAAAATTCGGAATAAAATGTGACATTTCCAAACTTTGCGTGGTGCCATGGTCCCAAAATGCCAGAAGCAATGAACCAGTTTGGGTGGTGCCATGGTCCCATTTCAATACTTTTTGTGCTTGAAAACTCTTCAAAAGATATTTCAATAAGAGTTATAACGCTCCAAATCCACCAATACGTGTGGAACCAGAAATTTAGGATTAGGGGTGCAAGTAAGAAAATAATTGATTTTTTTTTATAGTGCAAAATATTTAATAACTTTCAAAATTAGGAATAAACTGTAACATTTCCAACTTGAAAACTGGTCAAAATTAAGATATTTTAATAAAACATATAACACTTCAAATCGACCAATAGATATAGAACCAGAAATTCAAGATTAGGGGTGTGAATAGAAAAATAATTGATTTTTTTTATAGTGCAAAATATTCAAAAACTTTCAAAATTCGAAATAAAATGTAACATTTCCAAACTTTGGGTGGTGCCATGGTCCCAAAATGCCAGAAGCAATGAACCAGTTTGGGTGGGGCCATGGTCCCAAAATGCCAGAAGCAATGAACCAGTTTGATTGCATGATCTTCTTGCAATTTTTTTTCTCTGTAAGGAAGTTGAACGAGTAAGTGCCGCGTAGAAAATTCGTGCACGTCGTTTCTTTCGATAAGAGACTAGTCAACTATGGAAAAAGTCAAGCAAACAATTACAATGCATCCTTGGAAGTAGGAAGCCAATCAACATGGTTTCATTTCCTGCAAATCATTCATAGCAAGTTTCAAAAAGACAGGATAACACACCCAAAAAAAAGAAAAAGAAAAAAACAATGGCTTCTTCAAGATTGCTTTTCTTTCTATATTTTCTTTTGATACAACTTGTAGCTCTCACTAAAGCACAGCAACCAACAGTCGAGCCTAAAATGTCATACCATGACTGTGTAGGAAAGGGTAACTACACCACTAATAGTCCCTACCAGGCAAATCTCAATCAACTCCTCACCTCTATCTACACTAACACAGCAATAGACTACGGTTTCTACGATTTCTCTTTGGGGGAAAACGCCGACAGGGTACAAGCAATTGCACTTTGTAGACCAGATATTAGTCCTGGTGTGTGCCGTGCTTGCATAAGAAATGCAAGTGATTCCCTGGTAAGACTCTGTCCAAATTTTGTGGAGGCAATCGGGGGGTTAGATAATTGTATGGTACGCTACGCAAACCGCTCCATTTCCAATCTTATGGAAAAAGGACCTTACTTTTGGGTGTATGATGACCGAAATAATGTCTCCGATGTAGATGGGTTCAATCGGTCGCGGATGACCTTGTTAGGTAATCTGAGTGATAAAGCTGCGAGGGGTGATTCTCGTTACAAGTACGCAATGGATCAAATAGATGCCCCAAACTTCCAAACAATATATGCACTTGTACAGTGTACTCCTGATTTATCTGCCTCCGAATGCAGGGATTGCCTGTATAATGCTTCAGGACTTATTCCACAGTGTTGTGAAGCGAGACAAGGAGGAAGAGTTATTTATCCAAGCTGTAATTTTTGGTATGAGATTGACCGTTTCTATGACCCGTCTGCTAATGCTCCTCCACCTCCACTTCCACCATCACCATCTTCAACTTCACAAGGTATCCGCATAACTTTAAGCATGCATGACTAGCAAAATACTTGTCTTTAACCAAATTGAAATAGTCCAAGCAATCTTTGATTGATAAAGATCCCTTAATTATAACAATTTGATTTTAATTTTGTGATATTGACTTAGTTGACTCCGTTACATCACTTGTTAGTTTTTGAGAAATTAATTCAGACTAAACATGTTTAAATCAGACTAAGTTTTGGGTTATTTTCAGGAAAGAAGAGCAATAAATCTCGTACTGTCATCATTGCTGTTGTTCCAGTTGTTTCTGTAATTCTTATAATTTGCATCTGCATCTTCTTAAGAGTCAGGAAGCAGAAGGAGGAATTTGAAGGTAAGTTCAGAGGCTTTTCTTTGATGTTGGCATATTTTCTGAAAGGTTAGGCTGTTGATTTCGGGAGTAAATTCTCTTTTTTCTCCAAAATGACTAAATAAGTGTTACCAACGATGGAAACTATAGACTTTGTTTTATTACTTCTTTCTGAAAAAAGGCCACAGGCATGACATCAATCCATTAAGATTTAAGCCTCTTTGAGTCCCCTTCTTATTTCCTTATCTTTTCCCCATTCATACTCATAATTGCTGAGGTTATGATGATTTATAAGAGGTTCTTGTTGGAAAGTAAACTTAATTATATCTAAATATGAATAAATAAATATGAATGTAGTCATTACATTCATGAAACTAGTTATATGTGATGTGTCATTGATATAATGTTTAGTATTCTGTGTATAATAATTAAACGATGTCTAGTTATATGTGTATGAGTATCTATATATATAATTATAAGTGATTTAATGTTATATAGAGTGAAGTGAGTTAAGTTTCTAATAAACAAAGTGTCTTTTATCAAGTGTTCTTGTGTTTCCTCCCTCTTCAAGTAATTTCCTTCTTGTTATCTCTGTGTCGTGTCTAAAATCTATCCCCAATAGTTCTCTAGTATAAAAATTGCCCATCTTTCATGTGAAGGAACAGTTTTTTTTCATTTTCGTATCTGTTTGGGCTGTTTGTTTAGGTGTAGCTTTATATGACATCGAAGATGTAGAATTGCTGCAAATTGATTTTAGCACAGTTAGAGCGGCAACAGATAACTTCTCTGAGGATAATAAACTCGGACAAGGAGGATTCGGTGCTGTATACAAGGTAAAGCTCAACGAATAAGCGGAAATTCAATCATCTGACAAAAATGATATGTTTATACATTTGGAAATTTTGGACATGATTCATTCTTTCCGATTTTGACAGGGCACGCTTCCGAATGGACAAGAAGTAGCTGTAAAGAGGTTGTCTCGTCCATCAGCACAAGGAGAAGAAGAATTTAAGACTGAGGTCATATTAATGGCCAAGCTTCAGCACCGGAATTTGGTTAGACTGCGGGGTTTCTGCTTCGAAAAACAAGAAAGGCTTCTTGTCTATGAGTTTCTGCCCAACTCAAGCCTCAACAACTACATATTTGGTACATTCGTGATTCTATTATACAATGAAGTTTTATTATGTAACCTTCATGATCAGTTCACGTAACTAATCTAGCTCTATTTGATTTCCAGATCCAGTCAAGCGTGTAGTTTTAGATTGGGAAACGAGTTACAAAATCGTAGAAGGCATTGCTCGGGGACTTCTTTATCTACATGAAGATTCTCGACTTAGGATTATTCATCGAGATCTCAAAGCTAGTAACATTCTGCTAGATGCGAAGATGAACCCAAAAATCGCAGATTTCGGAATAGCAAGATTGTTTGCTGTGGATCAAACTCAAGCCGACACAAGTAGAGTTGCCGGAACCTTGTAAGTATATACTTCCACCACAAGTTTTCACCATACCATAAATATTTAGAAAGAAAAATCTAATAATATGCTATATCAGCAAGAAGAAGTAAATTTGTTGCCATAGTTAATTTAAACAAAAATTAACTCAAGTGATGATTATTTGCAGTGGGTATATGGCTCCAGAGTATATTACTCGTGGACACTTCTCAGTTAAATCAGATGTATTTAGCTTCGGCGTCTTGGTTTTAGAAATTGTTAGCGGTAAAAAGAACTATGGTTGCTGCATAGGAGAGCGAGAAGAGAACCTTCTAACCTATGTAAGTATGAACAACAATTATTAAATCTGAATTTTATTGTTTAAAGAATTTAGTTTCTAATCATGTACATGAACTTTGACATATTTTTTGCAGTCATGGAGAAATTGGAACGAAGGGACAGCTTTAAACATAATAGATCCTACCTTGAGTGTTGGTTCAAGAAGTGAAATGATGAGATGCATCCACATTGGATTACTTTGTGTGCAGGAAAATGAAGCCCTTAGACCAACTATGGCTCAAGTTTCTCTCATGCTTAGTAGCTACTCTGTCACTCTCGCAATACCCTCAAAACCGGCTTTTTTTATGCACGGCGAAACGAGCGTAGAAAGATTGCCATCATTGGAGTATGATTCCAGAACTTCCAGAACTCAATCTTCCCAGTTATCAAACAATGAGGTTACCATCTCGGAGCTATATCCTCGATGACATCCAAGGACAGAGGGGAAGTCAATCATTTCGTGCTGCTGTAGCCATTAATTACTTTTCTTCAATTTAAGTGACGGATCCTTATTATATACACAGCTTTCCAATTTTGAGAATAGAAAAAAGAGGGAAAAATAAAATTTCTGGTTCGTATATTTGGTGAGATTGATTTCTTACTGGAATCAAACCCAATGCTGGGGTGCAATGAGACATAATTAAAAAGAGGGACCATATTGGACTTATTTTATTGTTGATATTAGGTCCTTTGTTATATTTCTATTGCCTCATTACAGCCTTTCTTCCTTTTCCAATTCGACATGGAATTGGCCTTCCAGCATATGCTTGTCCTCCTTGTAACACAACTACAAATATAAATTATGAACTGGGATTGTAAAGAAACATAAGGCTAGATGGGTCAATTTCTTTTATATAATTTAAATTATTTGAAATTGAGTCTTTAAATTTAAATTTTAATTTTTAAAATCTCTGAATTTTTAAATTTTTGAAATTTAGTCTATTTAATTATTTTTAGCTATCATTCTTCTCTAAAAAATTCAATTCTTCATATTTTGAATTCAAATTTTACACACATCTTGGTAACAATCTAATCTATTTTCTAAAAAAGACCAATCAATTTTTTAAATCGAAAAGTATATTTATTTTTTTAATATTAAAAATAAAAAATAGAAAATAACCTGGAATGATATCAAATTTTTTGAAGAGCTCTACATAAATCACACTGAATTATTTCCATTATGGAGTTATTTATTTGATTATTATTTTTGTAAATAAAAAATAAAAAACTGAAGAATACACTAAATCTAAAAAAATAAAAATTCAGGAATCCCAAAAATTAAATTTAAAATTCAAAAACTCAATTTCAAATTAATTAAAGTTTCAGGAAAAGTTTGATCCATTTAGTCATTAAATTAAAATTATTAAATTTATTCATTGAATTAAAATTATTAAAAAAAACATAATAGTTATGTTCATTAAATTAAAATTGAATAATATAATTTATTATACAAAAAAAATAACAATAACTTTTTTTGTTATAAAATAATAACAACTTAACACATTATTTTATTTCTTCCTCTTATCTAATTAACGTCATTTAAAAACATTGAAGAGTATATGGACTAAACCAGCCCATGAACCCCTTATTGCTCCTATTGTTCCCGTTAATGTCCGTTTCCGTGAAAATTGAAGTAAAACTTCTATACAAATTGAACTCGTTGATGGTTGGATTTGTTCATGGACCAATCAGTCCGTTGAGCCAGCGCATGCCTGAAGGGTTTCAGACAGGCCTGCATATGAGTCCTCTAGCTTGGACTTGCATTGTCAGAGCTCATCTCAACTTGGGCCATGGATAGGATCAGGTATTTATACTATGGGTCAATGCGGTTCCCCCATATATATCTTCTTCTTCTTTTTAAAAAAACCTCTATGTATTTTTTTATAAATTATAAATGAGTCCCTTTTGTTTCAAAAAAATAAATAAATTAATCTCTCTTATTTTAAAAATTAATTATTTAGTCCTCATATTTTAAAATCTACTTGTGACTTAATCATTTTTGCTCTTTTTTAATTTATTTTGATTTTTTATTTCAAGAAATAGAAAAAAATTAAAATATGAAAAAAGAAGAAGAAAGGTTGTTGATAAAAAAGATATTTTGTGAAATAAAAATAATTTTAAATTAAGTATAACAAAACTAGTCAAAAGATTAAAAGATTAAATAATAGTTTTAAAAACAAATATGATTGATTAATTTGTTTTTTGAAACTAAAAGGACTAATTTATAATTTACTCATGTATTTTTTTTCTAGGATGAACCTCTTTATGTATTTATACTAGTACTATATAAAAACACAAAGCTTAAAGATGCACGGTTTGTATATTTCGGCCTTGGTGAATTACATGTACTACAACTCTATATATATAGGAGTCAGTAAGTTGCAGGATAAATACAAAGCAAGATAATCCTTAGCTAAGATGTTTACATAAAAACTCTCTACTAGATAAGCTTGAGTTGTTGAGCTAAAGTTTATCCTTATATTTTCTATACAAAGAGTTGTATCCGACTATGGTCTCTACTTAGTATCCTTAATATGCCCATGTAGGTCGATTGTGGTGTCAACTATGGACGGGTTGTGCCTATGATCTTCATGGAAGCTTCTTGAAATAGGCTTTGTTAGGGAGTCGGCAAGCTAGTCTTAGGAGGCAACATGGACAACATGCAGAGTGTTAGTTTGTACTTGGGCAAGAACAAAGTGAAAGTCCAGATTGATGTGCTTTATCCCGTTGTGGAAGATCGGGTTTTTGCATAGGTACGTAGTGCTAATGCTTGTCACAAAACACTCGTGAGAACCGAGCTGAGAGGTAAGTGAAGTTCACCGAGTAGGTTTGTAATCCGGTTGAGCTCGCCTATCGAAGCCGCAACAACACGATACTCGACTCAATTGATGAGTGAGCTACTAACCTTTGTTTCTTAAAGCACCAATCGATGGGGTTGACTCCCGAAAACACAATAAATGCTGAAGTTGATGTTCGTCATTGAGATCTCCCTGCCTAGTCAGCATCTCGTGTAAGCCTTAAGAGCTAGTGATGAGGAAGCTTAAAGATGGAGACCAAAGGAGACAGTTTATTTGAGCTAACAAAGCACTCTTTTAGCAGCTATCCAATGAGAGACACGAGGATTGTGCATGAATTGAGAGAGTTTGTTCACTATATAACAAATGTCGGGACATGTAAGGGAGAGGTGCTTGGAGAGCCATCACATGAAATTGTTTTACATCGGTAGCGGGTTGTTCACTAGTAGCGGCTAGTTTTTTCGTTGTGGACATTAGGCTATAAATTCCTTTGCGTCAAGCATGTTATGCTTGTGTAACGGATCGGTAATGTATTTCTACTATGATAAAAATAGACCTTTTTTGTTTCTTATAACTTCAATGCCAAGAAAGAAATTAAGATCCTCGAGGTCCTAGAGGGAAAATCAAGTAACGAGAGCATGGAATACCTTTTCAACTTTAGTGAAAGAGTTTCCTGTGAGTATAATTTCATCCACATATATTAGCAAAAATATACATTTACTTCCTTTGGAAAATATGAACAACAAGGCATCCGAATGAGAATTTGGGCAATCATATGAGAGAAGAAATGTTACGAGTTCATGGTACCATGACCTTGGTGCCGGCTTGAGGCCATAAATGGCCTTGCGAAGTTGACATACATGATTTGAAAGCTGTGGGTGTGAGAATCTAGGTGGTTGCTTCTTAAACACACATTCTTTAAGGCTACCTTGGAGGAAGGCATTGTTTATGTCGAGCTAACGCAATGGCCAGTGTTGTTGGACAACAAGAGCCGGTATCAATCATACTATGGTAGGCTTGATAACTGGACTCGTATGTTTCAAAAAAATCCACTTCGGGTTGTTGTTTAAATCCTTGTGCAACTAGTCGAGCTTTATATCGATCAATGGTTCCATCGAGCTTGCGTTTAATTCTGTAAATTCACTTGCATCCTATCGGATTTTGTGATGAGTCGGGAGGAATAAGATCCTATGTTTGATTTTGAACTAAGGCATCAAATTTTGTGTTCATAGCTGTGGGCCATTGAAGATGTTTTTGAGCTTATGCAAAGGTAGAGGGAGTAGATCATAGTCGGTGTAAGATAATCAAATAGCTTTAGGTTTAAAAATATGATTTTTTGATCTATTGATAATCATGAAGGTGCTTGGGTGAATGGGAGAGCCGATCGATGTTGAAAGCATGAGACCATGATGAGCACTCATAGAGACCTCGGTATTGGACGTGAAGCTTGTGGCTACTGGAGTAGGAGGTTCACTTGGATATAGGTTCGGGACTAGGAATTGGAATAGCAGAATCATGAATAATCTGGTTGACTAGGTTGGGCTTAGGTGGTATGTCATGGCATGGAGATACATTCGTCCAACTAGGGATTTGAGATGGAGTTACACGAATTGAATGGGAGGGGTGAGTTTGGAAAGAAAATATGTCTTCAATAAAGACCGGATGTCGAGATAGATAGATGCGAGAAGTTGTAGGGTCTAAGCACTAGTAACGGTGGTGGGATTTGGAATAGCTAAGGAAGACACATGGGCTAGATTTGGGTTCCGGTTTGTGATGTTGATGAGGTTTATGCCATGGATAACATAGAACCGAAGACACGGAGGTTGTGATAGTTAAGGAGAGGTGTGAAATAGAGATGCAAATGGTAATGTGTTTGGACAATTGGGAGTGGGCATTTTGTTTATGAGGTATACTTGCGATCGACATGCATATGTCCGGAAATGTAATGGTGTAAAGGAATGATGAAGGAGAGTGAGTGTTGTTTCTAGGATATGCCTGTGATGACGTTCAGCAACTCCAACACGTTGTGGAGTATAAGGTGGAGAGAAAAGATGCTTGAATCCCATTAGTCGATAGAAAGTGAGTGAGTACAAGGTACTCACCACCTCTATCTAAGTATACTTGTAATAATGGGCGAGATGAAAGTATTTTTCATAAGTAATTTAAACTTTTTAAAGGTTGGAGTAACTTTAGATTTTTGTTTAATTGAATATAGCAAAATGAACTTCATGTAATGATCTACAACGATTATATAATAACAAAAATATCACAAGAAGTAATTAGAAGCTGGACCCCAAATATCTATATAGATTAGTTCAAGTGGTCCGGAGTTTATTAAAGAGGAAACACCAAATGGTAGTTTGTGACTTTTATTACAAGGCAAGAATTGCAAAAATTTGAAATTGAAGATTTTGAAAAATAAATATTATGAGCGAGTGAGAATTTATTGAAGTGTGTGTGTTTTTATATGGCCAAGGATTTGATGCCACACTAAGTATGTATGTCTATGGCTTACGAGAAAAAATGGAATAGAAGATGATTTTTGTGTACTTGTCCATTCATAGAGATGTCTCTTACTTTGGCCTTGAACGAGCACTACCCCTGTGGTCAAGTCCTTTACAACAAAAGAAGATGAAAAAAATTCAATAGAGCTGTTATTGGAATTGCAAAGCCGAGATACCGATAGTAAATTATGTTAGATTTTATGAGCACATAGAACATTCTACAATGCATAGGAGTGAGTGGGGGTAGTAAGCTTAACGTAACTCGTGTGAAAAATAGGAATGTTGTTACTATCGCCAATAATGATATCATCATCGCCATTATAATCGAGTGAACAAACAAGTTTTGAATATCCGAGGTTATGTGATGGGAGGCATCTAAGTCTAAGATCCGAGTTACTTTAAGTGGGCATCGAGGTACGTCCTGTGAAGTTAGCTTGGGGCTCGGAGAAACGTGACTTGCAAGCTTTAGCCGTGTGCCCCTATCTATCACATATTTGGCATTGCACGTTGTGTTTATTGCCCTGCATAGGAGAAGACCGCCACTCGGGGGTTGCGATGATCCGGTGAGTTATACTTTGATTGCAAGGAGTGTGATGAGTTGTTGGTGTTATGATGATCGCCTCGGACTTGTTGTACGAGGTTGGGTTTTATGGTTGCTACCTCCACGAGGTCTATTAAAATAGCTATGCTAATGAAATTAGGTAGTGACAAGGGTGGGATCTTTCTTGACCTCATCATGTATCAAAAAGATTTCATTATCGGAGAGCTTGTCAAACAACTCTTGATAGGTGATAGGAATATCTCGAAACATGGATAGCTCGTATTGATTGCTTTGTAGTCGGATCCAAGTCCACCGAGAATCTTGATCATGAGTTCATCATTACCGAGTATGGAGCCAACTATGGTAAGTTCATTTGCAATTGTCTTTATCTCTCTTAGTCAATCTGCTATAGGTTTGTTATCTTTTACCATTTTCGCCAAGCTTGCTCTTAAACCATAGATTCTGGTTTGAGACTTATATGCATAAGTTATTGATATATTATCCCATGCTAGTTTAGAGGTAAATGTTGATGCAATTAGGGGTGCAATAGTGGCATCAACGAGAGGACAAGATGGCATTTTGTAGTAAGTTATCTTGCCTCTCGCCACTATTTAAATTTCAGATTGGGTATGATGTGACCTTCATGTTGAATGTTACGATTGGGCATGGGTATGATCCATCCACATAGTTCATGAGATCATACCTAAGTAACAAGGTAGTATGTTGTGCCCTCCATGTTGGATATGTGCTACTGCTAATGAGTTTAAAGGGAAATTGGGCTGCAACATTGAAGCCGATCGAGTTGGGGAGGGATGGTGTTATTTGGGTTACCATGCTTGAGGCATAGCTGGTTCGTGGTCGGTTATTTTGGTTGGAGGATGAGGTGGCTTCCATGATTTGTTTCTGTTGGATCTTGTCAAAGCTTAATGGGCTTTGATACCATATAAACACAAAACTTAAAGATGCACGGTTTGTATATTTTAGCCTTGATGAATTACATGTACTCGCAACTCTATATATATAGGTGTCGTAGTCTGCAGGATAAATACAAAGCAAGTAATCCTTAGCTAAGAAGATATTTACATAGAAACTCTCCACTAGATAAGCTTGAGTTGTTGAGCTAAGGTTTATCCTTATATTTTCTATATAGAAAGTTGTATCCGATCATGGTCTTTACTAGTATACTTAATACCATACTCTCCATCTACGGTGCTGCAATAATTGGCCCTTTCGACCTTTCAAAAGTCAACATTATGTAATTTTTTGAATGATTCTTATATTGTTTTATATTAAATAAAAATTTAACAAAAAAATTAATGAAAAATACAAAATTTAATTCTCTGAACTTATTTTTTAATCAATGGAATTAATAAACTTTTTAGTACACTGAAGAGAGGGAGTGATAATTAACAAATCGGTTGTTCTCCATATTCATCTCCTTTCAGTAATCATACATGATTGAAATAAATAATTTTATTTCATATCCTAACTTTAATATTTCATGGGAGTGTCCACTTTATTGGATAAAATTTATCTACATTGTTTCATAATTGTCCAAACCCATTTTTATTAAATCCAAAAAAAAAAAAATTCATTCTTTTTTATGTGGAAGTTTTTTCAAATATTATATTCACAGTAATCAAATAATATTAATTAAAGTCAAAATAAAATAATTATTCTTAATATTAAAGTATATTGACCCGTAATTTTAGTATACAATCAACATAAAACCAAAGATTTTATAGTTGTCATTGACTCATGATTATAAGTCATGATTTTAGGACTTAGTTTAGCCACTAACTTTCCTTCTATCTGTAGTGTATTTCTACTTGTATAAACCGGTCTGTACTAAGACATGCACAAACACAATTGATAATATAATATTTCTTCATCTTCTTATATATCAATTTTTTTTATATCATATCATAGTATCAAAACTGAATTTTGCGAAGTATTACTATGTACTAAGAGTTTGTTTGGCACCATATGAGACTTTATGCGGATGACAGGCTTTACCAGGTGAATGATCATGGTCAAGCGACGGTTATTACATGATGGTCCCGCAACCGAATGCTACGAACATCGATTGTCATAATTAAAGTACCATCCAGATTGCGTACCAAACATATTAAAATTAATTATTATTTTATTCAATACCATATTATCAATTATACACTGCGATTATTTATTTCATGTTTCTTCAATTGATCAGATATCTAATGCGTTCACTAAACTCATCCACTAGGGCAGTTTTATTATTTATCTTTCAAATTCAATTTAGAAAATTTATTGCCAACTCGAGTTTGAGACAAATATTATAATATATTGACTTGTAATTTTAGTAATGAGTGTAAAATCAAAGGTTGTATTGATGTCATTGACTCAAGATGATTGGCCATGATTTTAAGTTTTAGTTTAACCACTAACTTTCTTTCTATCCTTAGCCAATTTCTACTTGTATAAGTAGCTCTAACTAACACATATACAAACACAATTGATAAAATACAATATTTTTTTCTTCCTGCTATCAATTTCTTTATCATGTCACTTATTTTACGACTTGAAAATAACTAGTTATATATATCTATATATTCTGAAACCTCAAGTTAAACTTCAAAGTATTAATTAATCAACGGTTTTCCTCTATTTACAAAACTTTTTGGCTTACCTATTTCTCCATATGAATGCTATTGTGATTTCATCATTAGAAAGAAAAACATAATACATTTATGTGTTGAAGCACTTGGCAACATTAAAAACACCGAGCATGAATAGGAGTATTCGTTCGGTAATTTGATTCGGTTTTAAAATTTTTTGACTGGTTTTTGATTAATCGAATTATCCAAAAAAATAACCGAAACCAAATCGAATTATTATTCGGTTTTGAAATATATAGGTTTTTTCTTCATTAATTCGATTTTCACCTATGATTAATACTAAATAACTTAATTAGAATTGCATCAATTTCATGATCTCAATATTTTTAAATTACCAAGTAACATCCATAATTTAACAAAATAAAAGCAACAAACCAATAACAAGAAACCAACAATACAAAACTAAGTCACTAATAACTTGTCAAGTAAAATAATTCAAAAAACTCCCACAAGTCACAGTAATCACAATCCATGACCACAAATAGACAAGTTCAAGCAGTAGTTGAATGGTTGATTTTTTTTGAATTTGAATTTATGTGGAATGAGGGGATGGTTCACCTGACAATCAAATGATCAAAGATCTCGAATTAATGCTTGTTTCATTCTATTCATGTGGACCAAGGCAAGATGGTACAGCGAGCAAGGAGGAAGTTGAATAAAAAACCAGCTAGTTTCTCCTTGTTCAATCGTTTTCATGAGTGCTAAACTGCTAAAGCCTCTGAAATTGTGATTTTCTTCTATAGCTTATCTCTTATTTCTATTTTGTGGTATCTGTACATTTAGGGGAGTTCAGTTGTGCTTTTATTTTAGGCTTATTATAATATTTACCCCCTGGCGCCATGCCCTCCTCTGCCTTGCCCCTGCTCTATGAATTGAGTCTTTTTTCTTCTTTCAAGCACCCACCAACGGCAGCTAACTTTGATAAAGTATGGTGCTAGTTCATGAACGACAATATATATATATATATATTTTGTGATTTTTCGGTTAATCGAATTACAAAAAAATAACTGAAGCTGAATTTAAAAACTAAAATTATTTTAATTCAGATTTTTATTTTACTTTTTTTAAAAAATTATATTAAAATTAATATTTCGATATGATTCAGTTTGATTATTCAATTTTCAGAACACCACTAAACATGAAAGGTTAGGTCTACATGAACAATAAGATAAATGAGCTATATAAAAAATAAATAATTGGACAAAATTCCAGGGTATGACTCGACAACCCTATTATATTAATATATCCAAGGCGGCTTGTCTTAATCACTTCCATCTCCATCAATTATTTTCGAGTCATATAATTTAAAAATACTATCCTTAAAACAAAGTTGTTTGGAACGTGAGTTACCTAATTCTACGGAGAGAAATAATGTGACACAAGTTTCTTTCTTTTTTTCTTTTTTTCCTTAAAAAACACTACTCTAACAATCAAGTTTAATTTGTCTTTTTTTGGCAGCTGAACTCATCAAAACTAATTAATTGAGGGTTACGAAAACATAGAATAATAGAGCTCATCCTTAAGACTTTATTTATTTATTTATTTTTTTTAGAAAAGAGAGAAATTTTATAGAATTGAAATTGCGAAAATCTTGCACATTTAGATATGAAACGAATTAAGATATAAAAAGGTTATTTATATAAAGAATTAAATAGACTTGTATGTCACCCATAAAAATATAAAAAAACATACAATGAAAATATTACATAAAAAATTAAAAATTCACAATATATATCTAAAAGTTTAAAATTATTCTACAAGTGGACGGACAACTCATACATTTTTTTTCTAGCAATCTATCAATAATTCTCCTATTTTATCTTCTACTTAATATTTATTTTTTTGAGCTAAATGAGATATTTGAATATTAATTTATTAGCAGTCTATATAAAACTTTGGGTGCAACTAAAAACCCATGGAAGGATAGAAAAATATAACAAACATGAAAAGAAAAAGGAAAAAAACAATCAAACAACAACCTTAATATAGAAAAATTACTAAAAAAAAAAACCTAAACAAATACCACATAAATTAGATAAACATATATGATTGATCCCCGTTAGCGGCTAGCCAGCCACTGTCGACCACCATAATGCTCACCTGGTCTCTGCGTTTTGAAGCAACTTCCACGGATACCATTCTCGAAGGCTTACTACCATTAAATTATACTTTGATTATAAACTATCTCATGGCCGCAATGTTGACCAAGAAAGCATGCCTTGCCCAATTTTAGTCCACTAGAAAATAAAAAAGCCTAAAAAATTATCTTTCAACCTAAAATGTAGTAGTCTCTATGTTCAAACATTGAAGTATAAAAACATCTTCCTTTTCTCCAATTCTTATAATTAATCCAAAAATAAACGGAATTCGAAGCTGATGTAATTGAAAAAGTAAGAGAATTTAATCTCAGTTAATGTAAAAATTGGTTTTAAAATACTTTATTATCTATAATTAATATAACAAAAAATAAAAAACTAAAAAACATGTGTCTCATTTTTTATTTTTTTTTGGTTTTAAACTTTTGATCCTGAATATTCATAGACTTTTCATTCGAAAAAATAAACAGAACGCCCAAATTAAGCCAAACCCCATCTTGCCTGACTTCTTACCTCTCCATCCTCTACAAAACTAACTAATTTGTCCGAGGGAAGAGAGAGCAATAGTGCCAATGGATTCTTTCAAAGTAACAATGTTGTTTTCATTTTCTTGCATCTTTCTGCATCTAGCTTCTCTAAACATAGCTGAAACCGACTTTTTGGACCAATACTGTGGAAATGTAGGTAACTACACTACCAACAGCAATTTCCAAAGAAACCTGAACAGTCTGCTGTCTTCCCTGAATTCCAATTCCCAAATTGACTACGGATTTTACAACCTATCTGTTGGCCAAACTGGCCCTGACAAAGCAAATGCAATTGCAATTTGCAGAGGAGATATTGGAGAAGAGGAATGTCGAAGTTGTATTAGAAATTCTACGGGTAAGATCTTACAGGTTTGTCCTAACCAGAAAGAGGCATTTGGAATTTCTGAAACCTGTATTCTACGATACTCCAACAAATCCACATTTGGTGTCATGGAAGACTATCCAGTGTCCATCCTTGTGAACTCGAAAAACGCCACAGATGTGAATCAGTTCAATCAGGCTCTTCAAACATTAATGAGTAGACTTCGAAGCACAGCTGCATCAGGGAACTCTCTCCGGAAGTTTGCGACAGGAAATGGAACTGCTGGATTTGACACGATATTTGGACTTGTTCAATGCACACCTGATTTATCTGAGGAGCAGTGTGATGATTGCCTCGCCGGGGCCATTCGGGAGATTGCAGCATGTTGTGGTGGACAGATTGTAGGAAAACAAGGAGCAAGAATTACAACACCAAGCTGCAATATCAGGTATGAAGTCTACCGTTTCTTTGGAGTTACACCTTCCATACCCCAGGGCCCGACTCTGCCATCGCCACAAGCACAACCAGTAGCTCCTCCTCCTCCTCCAGCAGAAGGTATGTCCTGAAGCGTTGTGAATTTACATGTATTCCAATCTATTAATGGTATAATTATACAGCTCTAAATTAGCCTCTTTCCAATTTTTGTTACGGTCTATCTAGTCCAATTTTTCAGTTCTATGCTGGACAAGTTGTCACTTGTTTGGCATGGAGCCATGGACAGGAAAATGAGAATGAATGATGTCACCTAAATGATCCCCTTCTGTCATCAATTTAATTTCTTTGGCACTCAACTTGCTTTCATTTAATACAGCCACATCAGTTTTCGCTGGCAAGAAGAGCAACAAAGCCCGAACTATCATTCTCATAACAGTTCCAACTGTCACGATTGTGATACTTATTCTCTGCACCTCCATCTTTTTAAGAATCAGGAAGCTGAAGGAAAACGTTGAAAGTAAGTAAAGACTTGGATGTTTAATTATAACCTCTTACAGTTTTGACTGAACTAGTATATGCATAATGCTTGAGTTGGTAGCTGTTAGGTTGTTCATGAATTGATTTGCAATCTCCGTTCCAAAGGAATTGTCGAATTTTCACACAGAATAAGAAGGTTATTAATTGTTAAAATTCCAATGTAAGATTTTCACTTTGTTTTTCACCTGTGGGCTGTGGCTTTAGAAACCTAGTCCAACCAAATTTTTGTTTAAGAATCAGTCAGAACCATTAAATTTCGAACTTTTCCAATTTTATCATGAGAAAGTAAGCACATTTAACTATCACAATAAACATTGAAGATACTTCTTTAACATTTAAATTTAACTTTTAAACAATGCTTAAGTACTGTATTACATTTCGTATACAAGTGTGTTAATTTGTTTGTTTTGTGAAGCTGTGAATGAAATAGAAACTGCAGAATCCTTGCAATTCAACTTCAGTACTGTTAGAGCCGCGACAGATGACTTTTCTGAGGAAAATAAGCTTGGAAAAGGTGGATTTGGTTCCGTTTACAAGGTAAGAATCAATCGAACAATATCGATTGACCAGCATAAATGCAAGTGAAATACACCTTTTTTAAAATGATAAAACTTACAGGCAATATTTAACTGATATTTTTTTCAGGGTACACTTCCTAATGGACAAGAGATAGCAGTCAAAAGACTTTCTAAGGATTCTGGGCAAGGAGATTCAGAATTTAAAAATGAAGTCCTGTTGGTGGCCAAGTTACAACACCGGAATTTAGTTAGACTTCAAGGATTTTCCTTGCAAGGAATTGAAAGGCTTCTTATCTACGAGTTTTTGCCTAATGCCAGCCTTGATCACTTCATATTCAGTAAGGCTACAAATCATAAGATAATTTTAATATGCTATAGAATCGAATTATGAAAAAGACTACTTCAATATCTCGAGAAATGTTAAATGTCTACAAAACTAGATTCATATTCACATTTAATCTCATGTTATTATGTAATCGCTAGAACAAGTCAGGCGTTCACAGTTGGACTGGGAAAGGCGTTACAAGATCATTGGTGGCATTGCTCGAGGACTTCTTTACCTTCATGAGGACTCTCGCCTTCGAATCATTCATCGTGACCTCAAAGCTAGCAACATTTTATTAGATGCAGACATGAATCCTAAAATTGCAGATTTCGGGATGGCAAGATTGTTCGTAAAGGATGAAACTCAAGGCGATACAAGTAGAATTGTGGGGACCTAGTAAGTATCTATACAAGCAGATCATGTAGTTGCAGGAGTCATTATTAATTACAGTTAAGCTCAAGTTTTACTGATTTCCTGCTTCGAATATAACACAATGAAAACTGAAACTGCCCAGAATTATCTCCAAACGTTCAAATATGACCATGTTGCAGACGATGTTAATGTTACTCAACTGAAATTGAACTAGCATTAATGTTGAAATGCAGTGGTTACATGGCTCCAGAGTATGCTATGCATGGGCAATTCTCAGTAAAATCAGACGTGTTTAGTTTCGGCGTGCTAATCTTGGAGATTGTGAGTGGTCAGAAAAACAACTGTTCTAGCAATGGTGAAACCGCGGAGGATCTATTGAGCTATGTAAGTGTACTCATCTACGGTTCCATAGATGCAACTTTTCTCCATTTTCTGCACACTATCTTGTTTTCAGCTACGCAAGTATGATAAATTAATGGTCATTGATCGTTGTAGACGTGGAGAAATTGGAGGGAAGGCACAGCTTTGAATGTTATAGACCCTGCCTTGAGCAAGGGCTCAAGAACTGAAATGATGAGGTCCATCCATATTGGGTTACTCTGCGTTCAGGAAAATATAGCTGATAGACCAACTATGGCTTCAATTGTTCTAATGCTAAGCAGCTATTCTCTTACTATGCCAACACCATCTCAACCACCATTTCTTACGAACAGCAACACAAATCAATCAAATATGTCATCTTCAATGGACTATAATTCAAGGGTGACTAATTCCTCAGAGGCCCAAGCTGAAGTGCTCCCATTTTCAGCAAATGAGGCATCAATTACTTAGTTACACCCTCGATAATAAATCCTCATTTTCATATATTTAGCAAACAGTACATATTTTGCGGATGTAAATAGTGATATTGGTTGATACATTCTTGCAATTCATTTGTTAATAACTCAAATGAAATTTGCATTTTTTTTAGAATCATTTTTTTTCTTTTCATCTCCTTTGGATTATGTACCTTTCGAATTTTTTTTAATTCAAATCTTTTTTTTACTTGAAACCTTTTATTTTTCAAAATTTATTGCTTCTCATCATTTTTTATAATTCTATCGATCAATGATCAATACATCCTTTTTATTTTTTAAAATTTTTTATTTTATAATGTCATATATCTATTATTGATTGGTAGTATTACAACAGAAGATTTAAAATAAAAAATCTCAATCAAGAAAAAAAAAAATTAGGGTTTCAAAAAAAATAAAAAAATCAACGAATACAAAATGTGAGAAAAGCCCATTTCCTTTTATTTTAATGTATTGTTATCACAACGTAGTTCTTATTTGGATGCACAAAATGCTCGTACAGTGGTAATTTACTGAATGTTTAATTGAATTCAATATCTTTTATTTATTCTTGTGTTCAATAAAGCAAATTTTGTGGTTGGATTCAATTCAGATTCTGATGTAGAATGAGTAGCAAAATCATTTTCTGTTTGTTTTGAACGTAAGAATATCTTAAAACCTAGTTTGCTGTAAATCGAAATTGAATATTTTTTTTAATTAAGTCGTACCACCATATCATCATTCTCTTGTTGAATTTAAAGAAATGAATTCTCAAGAATTAGAATGTTGGTCGCGCTATTCCACCATATCATCGTTTGAATCAAGATAGATCATAGAAGTTTAGAAGCTGGCCTGCTAGGTCAAATTTTAAAGCCCATAATTTTTAATCTGGAAAGAGTTTTGGGCTGCAAGCCATCAATAAAAAGCTTATCCAATGCTCTATATAGTTTGGGTCTCTGGACTCTGTATGATGTTGGCACGTCCCTTTAGGTGAAAATCCATTTTCATGTCACATTTTCTGGTCGGCCTCCAAATCTTGCCGGGATCCACATCTTTCCCATCGATGATTAGGTTTTTTTTTTTCACAATAATTTAGGTTTATCGTGGATTTTAAGAAATTTTTATAATGCCTAATTTGCCCTCATTTTGGTGTGGAGTTTCTTTATATTTATAAAAGTAATTGAACAAATTAATAAAACATCAAAATAAAATAATTATTCTTACTTTACATTGGAAAAAATAATTATTTATTTTTTATGAATAAATAAATAAATTCAATAAATTATTATTTTTTATATATATTGAAACCTCTAGTTACTTCAAAGCATTAATTAATCAACGGTTTTCCTCTGTTTACAAAAACTTGATGGGTTACCTACTTCTCCATATTCGTGTTGCGGTGATTTCATCATTAGAAGGAAATCCATAATATATTTCTGTGTGGAAGGACTTGGCATCAACAAAAAAAGAAACACCGTGCATGCATGGTCTAGATAAACAATATAATAAATGAGCTACATAAAAAATGAATAATCGGACAAAATCCCTGGTATGACTCGACAACACTATTATGTCCAAGCTTGTATTCAATCAGTTCCATCTCAATCCATTGTTTTCTAGTTATATAATCTAAAAATACTATTCTTAAAGCGAAGTTACGAAGTTGTTTGGAACATGCATAACTTAGCTTTGAACCGAAATAACTCATCTTATGACTCCTTTTTAATTTAATTATTATTAATTTTGTTTTTTATGAAAAAAACATTACGGCCGGCCGGTGTTACCTCATAACACTTGGCATTTTGTTTATTTTCGTATTTTTCCAACTGATAAAGCTTTCTAGCTTTGAACCGAAATCTACTTGCAATCATCAATTTTTGTAATTGATCGGTTCAAACGTTGAAATCTCAAAATGTATCTCTCTACCTAAAATGTACTAAGCTAGGCCTCCACGTTCAAACATTGAAATTTCAAAACATACCATAGACTTTTCTTATTCCAAAGAGTAAACAGAACAACCAAATTAAACCAAACTCATCTTTCCTGAATTCTCTTCTCTTCATCCTCTACAAAACTAATTTGTCTGAAGGAAGAGAGAGCAATAGTACCAATGGATTCTTTCAAACTAACAAGGTCGTTTTTATTTTCTTGCGTCCTTCTGCAGCTAGCTTCTCTAACCATGGCTCAAACTGACTTCTTGTACCAGTACTGTGGAAATGATGTAGGTAACTACACTAACAACAGCAACTTCCAAAGAAACCTCAACAGTCTCTTGTCTTCCTTGGATTCCAATACCCAAATTGACTACGGATTTTACAATCTATCTGTTGGCCAAACTGGCCCTGACCAAGCAAATGCAATTGCACTTTGCAGAGGAGATATTGGAGTAGACGAATGTCGAAGTTGTATTGGAAATTCTACGGGTAAGATCTTACAGGTTTGTCCTAATCAGAAAGTGGCATTTGGAGTATCTGACATCTGTACTCTACGATACTCCAACAAATCCATATTTGGTGTCATGGAAGGCAGTCCAGTATCCATGCTTTGGAACACGAGAAATGCAACAGACGTGAATCAGTTCAATCAGGCTCTTCAAACATTAATGAGTAGACTTCGAAGTACAGCTGCATCAGGGAACTCTCTCCGGAAGTTTGCGACGGGAGATGAAGCTGCCGGATTTGACAAAATATTTGGACTTGTTCAGTGCTCACCTGATTTATCTGAGAACCAGTGTGATGGCTGCCTAGCTGGGGCCATTCGGGAGATTGCTACATGTTGTGATGGACAGATTGTAGGAAAACAAGGAGCGAGAATTACAAAACCAAGCTGCAATATCAGGTATGAAAACAGCCGTTTCTTTGGAGTTACACCTGCCATACCCCAGCTTCCGACTCCGTCATCACCGCAAACACCAGCAGCAGAAGGTACGCCCCGAAAAGTTGTGAATTTACATGTTTCCCATTCTATTAATGGCCTAATTGTGCAGCTCTAAATTAGCAGGGACTAGAAACTTATGTTTTTACGGTTGAGATCTCAATAAAAAACATCAATTCACATTTGAATATCATATTATTATGATGATTATTATTATTATTATTTTGATGAAGTCAAAGATTATGTGTTTATTTTGTTGATAAGAAGAAAGTTACAACCAAGCTAAAAAGTTATTAGATTTTTGCAAATTAGACTTAGCTAGATAGTTTTTTTTTTTTTTTTTAATATATATTAGAGAAAGAAACAAAATTTTAACACAAAATCAGTTGTGTTTATTCAGTTTTATGCTGGACAAATATATGTTCACTTGTATGGCATGGAGCCATGGACAGGAAAATAAGAATGAATGATGTCTCAAATTAAGCACTCAACTTGCTTTCATTTAATACGGCCACACTGGTTTTTGCAGGCAAGAAGAGCAACAAAGCACGAACTATTATTCTCATAATTGTTCCAACTGTCAGCGTTGCGATACTTATTCTTTGCATCTGCATCTTTTTAAGAATCCGGAAGCCGAAGGAAAAAGTTGAAAGTAAGTATAGACTTGGATGTTTAATTATAAGCTCTTACAGTCTGGTTGAACAAGTATGTAGTTTATGCATAATGCTTGAGTTGGTAGCGGTTAGGTTGTTGATGAATTGACTTATTTGATTTGGTCCATGATCGTAGCTGACAATTTAGGTCTCTTGAGCTTGAGCTTGAGCTGACCTGTTCATAAAAGTTTTACGAAAAATTATTACTGAGATCTACTGTAGCATCAAGTAATACTGGATCAACTGGATCAACCAATAATAAAATTTTAGTTCACATGAACTGAGTCCTTACCTGTAGCTTAAGGCCGACCCCAGACACCCTAAATTTACCAACACTAAGTTTTTTCTACAATCATAATTTGACCCATTATTCATGAATAATTTATTAAAAATCGCTTAACATTTCAATGATAAGGTTTCCTGGGAAAAAAAAAATTGACAGGAGTACTAGAGGTCTAACCTTCAAATTCTCATGTAAAATTCACTCTGTTTTTTACCTGTGGGCTGTCGCTTTAGAAACTTAGTGCAACCAAATTTTTGTTTGAGAATCAGCCAGAGTATTTATAGAAAGAAGTCAGAACCATTAGATTTCGAAGTTTTCCAATTTTATCACGAGAAACTAGGCACATTTAACAATTACAATAAACATTGAACATACTTCTTTAACATTTAAATTTAACCTTTAATCAAGCAAATTCATATAGGTAACCAATGCTTAAGAAATGTATTATATTTTGTATCCAAGTGTGTTAACTTGTTTGTTTTGTGAAGCAGTGAATGAAATAGAAACTGCAGAATCCTTGCAATTCGATTTCAGTACCATTAGAGCCGCAACAGATAACTTTTCTGATGAAAATAAGCTTGGACAAGGTGGATTTGGTTCCGTTTACAAGGTAAGAATCAATTGAACAATATGGATCGACGAGCATAAAAGCAAGTGAAATTCACCTTTTTTAAAATGTTACAATTTACAGGCAATAATTAACTGATATTTTTTCAGGGTACACTTTCTAATGGGCAAGAGATAGCAGTCAAAAGACTTTCTAAGGATTCTGGACAAGGAGATTTGGAATTTAAAAATGAAGTCCTGTTGGTGGCCAAGCTACAACACCGGAATTTAGTTAGACTTCAAGGATTCTGCTTGCAAGGAATTGAAAGGCTTCTTATCTACGAGTTTTTGCCTAATGCCAGCCTTGATCACTTCATATTCAGTAAGACTACAAACCATAAGATAATTTTAATATGCTATAGAATCTAATTATGAAAAAGACTACTTCGATATCTCGAAAAACGTTAAATGTCTACCAAAGCATATGCATATTCACATTTAACCTCATTTTATAATGTAATCGCTAGATCAAGTCAGGCGTTCACAGTTGGACTGGGAAAGGCGTTACAAAATCATTGGTGGCATTGCTCGAGGACTTCTTTATCTTCATGAGGACTCTCGCCTTCGAATCATTCATCGTGACCTCAAAGCTAGCAACATTTTATTAGATGCAGACATGAATCCTAAAATTGCAGATTTTGGGATGGCAAGAATGTTCGTGGTGGATCAAACACAAGCCAACACAAGTAAAATTGTGGGGACCTAGTAAGTTTCTACCCAACCTAGATGGACATTATTAATGTTACTCAATGAAATTGAACTCATCGTTTTCATAAATAAATGAATAAATAATTGAATTCATTGTTAACGTTGATATGCAGTGGCTACATGGCTCCAGAGTATGCACTGTACGGACAATTCTCAGTAAAATCAGACGTGTTTAGTTTCGGCGTGCTAATCTTGGAGATTGTGAGTGGCCAAAAGAATAACGGTTTTCGCAATGGGGAAACCGTGGAGGATCTTTTGAGCTACGTAAGCATACTAATCTATGGTTTCCATGGTTGCCACATTTTTTTCTTGCATATTATCTTGCTTTCAGCTGCGTAAGTATAAAAAAAATTAATCAATATTGCAGGCATGGAAAAATTGGAGGGAAGGCACAGCTTTGAATGTTGTAGATCCTGTGTTGAGCACTGGTTCGAGAACTGAAATGATGAGATGCATCCATATTGGGTTGCTCTGTGTTCAAGAAAATTTAGCTGATAGGCCAACTATGGCTTCAATTGTTCTCATGTTAAGCAGCTATTCTATTACTCTGCCAATACCCTCCCAACCAGCATTTTTTATGAACAGCAAAACTTATCAATCAGATATGTCCTCTTCAGTGGGATACGATTCGAGGGTGGCTGAGTCCTCAGAGGCCAAAGCAGAACTGCTTCCATTGGCTGCTAATGACGAGGCGTCAATTACTGAGCTATATCCTCGATAACAATGGTCTAAGGATGGTCACAACCATATATTTACCAAATCCCACTTGGCCGAGAGTTTGGCCTTCCATAGTGGCCGAAACTTTCAGCCTCTGTCTTTTTATTTTATTGTTCTTTCATTTATTTGGATTATTATTATTGTAAAGACTTGGGCTAAATTAATTAGTCCTCATAAGTTTTGGATTTTCTTTTTGCATTAAGATCCGGCTGAATGTGGCCTAAGTGTATATTTTGATCCTTGCATGTTATGAATCCTTATTTGTCAAAAGAACCTTATTTATTTTGAGTCCATGTAATATACAAATACAAATTTAATTGGGTTGAAGTAATAAAGTCTTAATTGAAAATGGATGGCATAAGTCCAACTCAAATTAGAAAAAGAATCCTATTTAGGAAGGGAGTTAGAAACAGCTAAGGAAGGAAAGTTCAATCTTAGCTGAATTCTTAGGTCTTTTTGTGTGGATATTTAACTAAACTTTTTTTTTTTTTTTTTCTTTTTTCAGTTAGACTTTGATTAAAAATTTGAATGGAAAATTGAGAGTTTTCTCTGCAATTCTTGTGTATCTCCTTCGCTTGATTGGATAGGATATCGTGAATACATTTTTAGAGTAATCAACTAAGGTGGGCTTAAATAAAAAATTATGTCAGCTAGACTCTTGATGAACATATCCTATAATTACTTTCTAAATAAACTTGAGTAGAGTTTTTTTTTAAGGGTGAGACATTAGGGCTTGTTTTTATTTTTGTGTTTGCTTGATAAATTATGGGTTTATTAGGGTTTCAAGATTGAATAGATTCGGTCTCAAAACTAATAACCATGGTTAGAGATTTTATATTTATATAAAATTTTGAAACTTGTTTTATAAAGGGTTTATTTAGATCTCGTTAAAAAATCAAAAAATTCCAAAAATACTTGAGTGGGTTTTGAGGGTGTTGAAATCATTGTAAATTCTAGAACCTATTATGTGCGGAATTTCAACTTGTTTGAAAATGGGGCTATATGGCTTGGATTGCCCTAAATTTTAGTACACATATACCTCTAGACTTTATCTATATTATGTAAAAGTTTTAGCCAAATTTGAGTTGATTTACTAGATCAATGCACCTACCCTATATATGGGTTTGTGAGTTTATTGATTGGTGATAACATGATCTCATTTGTGTTTTTGTTAAGAATCTTGTTGATTGTGATTTGTCCTTTGATTGTGTTTTATTTGAGGTTGTTTGGAGTGCGATAGAGGCTGGTTCATAGTTTGGGTGTTTCAATCTAGAGCTACTTGTTTGTTGCTTGTGTGTTTGAGCTTCTACAAGGCTTGACATCTCTCGATCCGAGCATCGGCTTGGTTTTAGAGTTGAGGTTTAATTCCTTTGCATATTTGGCCTATTGTAGAGATGGTTGTTACAAGATTGTTGAGTGTGGATTTGACTTTTGAAGAAGATTGGGTGATGTGTAATATTTTTCACACTTGGTGCATGTCACATAGCAAGTTGTGTGAATTGATCATCGATATAGGTAACTATGAGAATGTAGTAGCTTTCTAAATGGTTGAGAGGCTAGGCTTGATAACGAGTTGATCATCTTAACCCTTATTCATTGACTTGGATGCGAAAGGGGAATGAAATTCGTGTGTCAAAAGAGGTGCTTAGTGTCGTTTTCTATTGGTAAGACCTATGTTGACAAGGTTTGGTGTGATGTGGTGCCAATGGATACTTGCCATTTATTTTTAGGAAGGCTTTGGAAATATAATCGTAGAGTCATGCATAATGGCTTACAAAACACTTATACTTTTACCTTTAATAGAGTAAAGATTTTGCTACTCGTAAATAAAAAGGTTTTGGCAACTTGTGTTAGTGAGCAAGAGGAGGTTGTTGCTAAATCTATACTCATGAAGGATGGAGTAGATGGAATTAAATAAGAAAAATTCTAGAAATAGGATAAGATTTTTGAAACTAAAATTTCCTAAGGACATGGTGTCAAAGAAGAGGTTAGAGAAGTCGACCTTGTTGATGACTAAAGTATCCAAAGTTCTAGTGAAAGCATTGATGATGTTGTCGACATTGGCAATGCCATAAACACTAAAGTTTTTAACAATGAAGTCAAAAATGCTACGCCACTAAAGAGCTAACCAAAAAAGATGTCCATAGCATCCACAAAGTTGATTTAGTGCGGTAAAAGGTCGTTAGAAAATTGTTCAAAACTTTCCTACATGATATTGACATTTGATAGTAAGAAAATATTATTGATGTTGATAAATGAAAGTTAAATGTATTGGATAATACTTCACTATCCAAATACATAAATATAGAAGCATGATTTATGGAGGAATGCATGGTAGAATGTGTTAAGGCTACAAATGAGAGATTTATTCAATGGAAAAAAGTTACATTAGAACAAAACTTGTAACAAAAAGAGTACATAACAAAAAAAGAAAACACACACATGATTATGTGTGTTGTGAAATATGGCCGAAGTCGACCTAGAACATGACACACGATTGTGTGTCTTTGGTTGCTTCATTGGCAAAACCTCTACTCTTAGCCATGTGCGGGTCCTTTGAGTAATCAGCCTAAATGGACTAGATACATGCCAAATTAGAGTTTTCTTTTTTCAAAAAAGTTGGATCCCTATTCTTATCTTTCCAACGTATTATGTTTTGTATCAATTGGAGATCCGCAACTTCAATTATGGGCTAAATATTGCCATTGACTTAGCCTATTCATCAGCCTTAGAATTTTAAATTTATAGCTAAATTCCTCTATCGGATCGACCTATTTTGGACTCGGACACCGTATAAGAATTGTAGATATGCCTCTTAAGTATTCTATGGGTTTGACTTTACATGAATTAGAGTTCGAAACTCCGGATATAAATGAAACACCGTAACTAATCCGAACTCTAAATAAAATTCATATTAGTTTTTTAGACCGTAACATGAAATATGGTTTTGTTAAATATGGTGCCTTTGGTTGAATAATATGGATGACAAGTTTGACGATATTCGACCTTATCATGTTATGTGGAATGTATCTAGGAATCGGTTAATGCCATATGATTCATGTTCATGTTTATGCTTGATATTGTATTTTAATGGCATTCACACTATGAAATATTTTAGTTCATGATTTCAAGTATTTAAATATTCATTCGTGTCATGAAAATGTTTAAGCATGATTTCAAGTATTCCTAGAAAAGTCATGTTCATGTTTTCAAGACGAGTTGCAAATGAAATGATATAGTTTATAATCTTTGTAAGACATACAAAGGGAATGATTTGGTGGATACTCTTTGTATATATTAAAGCGGGACATACTAAAAGAATGATATGGTGAATACTTTTAGTATGTAAATGGAATGATCCGATATATACCCTTGATGTGATGGCTCACAAAATAATGATTTGGTGTATACTTTTCATGAAAATGATAAAAAATATATTTTAGAATCATGAATAATGAATTTATTTGCATTCATGTATGGTTACATTTATCGAGCTTTAGCTCATTTGTTTATCTTGTGGTGTCGGTGAATAGAGCAATAGTTGAGGTCATATAGATGTGTTGAGGATGCTGGTCATGAACTACGAGTTTGTCAAATCATATACTGCATGTTTAGGTTTAAAATTTGAAGGTTAAACCATTGCTAGGTTTTAGCCACTTTTAGTAGTTGCTTAGGTTCGACCATTTCGAGTTGTAAATGATAAACTTTAGGTCATTGTAGATATGTTTATAGATATATTGATAAGATTAAAGGATAATAAAATATTTATATTCATTTTGGATGTATTGATGAATTTATACATTTAAAGATGCATCGATGCAATTATGAAAATGATATTAAGTTAGTTTAAAATATGAATGGTTTAGGTTACAAAAAATATATTAGTCATAAATATTAACTTTTAGCAAACCTTGAACTTTAAACTGAATAAAATTTTTTTGCTATGCAATATGAAAGAGATCCAAGATAGAGGATATAGTACATTGCTTTATACTCTCAAATGTGAGACAATACCGTAACACTCTCGACTCCTTGTTGGGCCACGAGTGTTACATTGCACCTAAGTCCAAAATCCATGCTTGAGAGCTAGAAGCCACGAGGGAGGTGAGAGGACGATTGCAAGAAGGAGAAGAATGATGAATTTTTGGATTAAGAGAGTAGCGAGGCTATGTGGCCAAGGTTACGATAGTTGCGAGATTGGATGAGGCACAAGATATATCCAATGGGGTGGAATCATTAGGGAGAGGAAGAATGCCTTAAGTGTTGTGGTGGCTTGTTTTAGATGTAGAGGTATTGGTGAAGCAACCACGGCCATGTGACTTGAAAGTGCCATGACTTTTTCCTTTACAAGGATTGATGGTTGAGTGGCGGGTAGAATAGTCGATTGTCTGGAGGGATAAAATCAAAGGAGGATTCTTCATTTGCAAGTTGAGATTCTTCACTAAGTAGAAGACCATACAAGTCATCATAGGAAAGAGGTTGAAGCCTTGCTTCAATGCTACGTACAAACAAACGGTATGCTAGTTCAAAGCCGTCAAGGATATCGGAGAAAAAGTCATCCTCGGGAACCGAATGATTAAGAGTAGAGAGTTGATAAAAAAATAGTCTTAGCTCGAGTCAAGGATATCGGAGAAAAGGTCATTCTTGTGATTTAGGTGATGTAGTGAAGTTTTGAGTTGGCGAATCCGAGTAGCTGAGGTAGAAGCATATATTTTAGTAAGTTTCTATCAAGTATCTCGAGCTATCTTGGCACTTGCAATTTGAGAGAGAGTAGATTGTGTAAGGGAGCGAGCAATCCAACTTACGATAAACCGATCTTTTTTGAACCAAATAGAGTATATAAGATTTGGAACACTATTCAACAAAGAGAGGTGCTTGGAGGAACAATAGAGCCATCAATGTGATGAAGTAAGTTGTATTCACATAGGAGAGGATATAACCGAGTTTGCCAAAATAGGTAATTTGTAGGAGAAAGTTTGATGGATAGATGGTTTAAGTTAGGAA